CCGATTTGGTCAGGACAGACCAAAGAGCTGCTGTTCTCTGCCTAGAGTCAGTCACAGATCAGTGCCTGATACTGTAACAAAAGCCACAAATAAAACACTGTGCCAAAAAGCTGGAAAAAACCCCACAGTCATTGCTGGAGTTCTGGTCCCCAAGGAAGCTGATAAGAAAAACCTACACCCGTTTCCAGGTATCAGAGTAACACAGGTATGTCCTAACCAGCCCAATCTTTTTTCTTTGGCACTCAAAAGCTACAGTGCAGATCTTAACTGCATTAAGCTTCAGCTTCCCTCAGACTCAGTTTGGGGAGCAGACATATTTATGATGATGTCCGTGTCCCATGTTTTCCAACCACGGAAAAAACCTTAGAAACCAAGAGGGAAAAGCTGTGTTTTCCTCCAGAACAGGATGCACGTCTGCCATACATTGTTAAACCAGCCCCAGGGCTGCGACGTGCATTTCAGCAGCATGGGTGGTGGACACTTCAGGTCAGTCTTGCCACCTAGGAAAGGTATGCGCAGTTGAAGTGTTCAGTCTTTGTCCCTCCCAGCCTACTTAAAAATTGAATGGCGATTACTTCAGTTTATCATAAGAGACTGTATTTACCTCCAAAAACCACCCAGACTTCCTCAGCTGAGTGTGAGAGGACTACAGCCGCCTTCACTTCCCCTCTATGTGAAGCATTTAAGTGCTGCTCTTAGTGCATGTGTTCAGCTGTCAGTAGAATCCAGATGCTCCCACTTAGTTGCACTGGCACTCCAGCCTACTCAAAACAACTGAAAAGGATAGCCTGGAGGGCTGAATATCGAATCACCCGCATAAACCGTATCTCTACTAGGAGGGGGGGGGGGGGGGGAAGTCTTACTACTAGGACCTGTAACTTACCAGGCTGTTTACCCAAGAATGTATGTAAGATAGGTTAGGCTTGTTTTAAATACCCTCAGAGAGGGTAGGAGTCACGTATTTCCCCATTGCCCTAATTGCAGAGACACGGTAACACCTCCTGCTGTACTTGAGGGAGGGCCCAGTTCTAAGTGTTGCCAGGCAAATTAAGAGGCTGAGGAGGACGAGCAGTTTATCAGCCTTTATACTGCCTAAACATACAACCTGGGAAATGTAACGATGGAAACCCAGAGGGCCTCAGTGGAGCAGCTGCAGAAGTTCCTCTCTTCCACCAAGACACAGGGGTAAGCAAATTCCACCGTTCTTCACTCCAGAGACCAAGCTAGGGCACCTATATCGTAGTGGTCTTTGTACGCACGGCTTTCGAGCGGCAGAGAGGAAAGTGAGACATTCCAGTGGGAGGGCAATGCCGAATGGCCCTCCTCTGTCCTGAACCTCACCTACTTATCTTGCAAATACACTTGACGAATGGAAGGGAACAGCAAAACAGCCAAATATCTCGCTGATCTGCGAGAGGACACAGAGCCAAGCGCTCTGCGCAGCTGTCCTCTGCCACCTGCCTGCAGCCTCCCCTCCCCTAACCTCACCCAATGCAAGATAAGCCCACACCATCTAGCCGACAGCTTTTGAGGGCAAAATATTTGGAAATAAAGAGAAGCAAGCCTCAACAGTGCGTGGCTTTTAATCCCCAAATGTGCAGGCAACATGACATTAAAACAAAAAAATTAATAGTTAATGGCTGTTTCTTCCCTTTAAGTAAACACAAATTTTGAAGCTTAAAGTCACATTTGCGGTGCTATATACAGTTTCTCAGGATCAAATCTTTAATTCAGCACTTGGCACTTCCCACTGTAAGATGTATAAAGGGGAAAGACTTGACTAAGATTACGTAGGAAGTACTGTGTAATTTCATTTTCTTCAGCAAGGAGGGTAGGAAGGTTGGACAGTTAAAAACACAAACTAAACAAAACTGGTCATGAATGTCATTTAGTTTGCCTTTCTTCAGAGGCTGGACTTTGCAGTCGGAGTCCTAGCTGTCTGGAAAGAGCTTAGCATCGCTGAATTCTGAACCAACATCAGTAACAGCAGAGACGCTACAGCTATGGAAAAGCACCTTGTGCTTTTCCTCCTTTAATGGAATTCTGGTGCTCAGGGTCTAGTAACACCAGGCTTTCCGTTTGCAGATAATCTTGCTATATAGTATGAATTTTACATTTGGCTCCTCTCATATGATTTATTTTACTACTTTTTGTGGTAAATATTCCAAACTCACCCTCACATACCTTAGCTGAAATACACACACAGGAGATTTCAACTGCAAACGTATATGTAATTTTAAAATGTTCATTTCTACAACTGTCTGCACAGTAGTAACATGTTCTGCAAGACACTCCAGGAAGCCTTCTCTGTCCGCAATGTTCACTGGAAGCGAACAGGACAGAAAACCAAAAAGCCAATGTTTGTATTGTGGTACTGGTTCTGAAACGGGAACAATGTAAAGCCTCACCTCTGAACTGGTAACTGTATTGTATTCGTCAATAGCCACACGTTTCAACAAAACTACTGCCAAAAATCGGACCTGAAAGTAAGTTAACTCTTGTTTGAGTAGTTTACCATTTTTCTCTACTGTTACAGATGCTGTTCTTTGACACCTCTTTACACTACTGCACTACTGCTTTCAAACACAAACTTGGTAATTTTTCTTTTATCTTGGAGCCTACAACAGCAGTAAAATACAAGAATGTAAGAATAAGCCAGGTGCCTGTAAACACCAAACATTCATCCTCACATTTTCCATCTGGGAGAATTGCTTCCAATACAAAGGTCACGAGCACCAGTTCACAATGACAGCATAAACTCTTAATACTTTACCAACCTTGGTTTTTTCCTCCCCACTGTGGAATCACAGAGCTAAATCATTCCCAAGTCCCAGCTCAGGAATGAAGGGAGCGTTCATGAAACGCAGTTTCTAACCAGAACCTGCTAACGGTCTTGCTGTTCCAGAGTACACGGGCAGATCTCAAGCATCAGCACACAAGACTGCTTGAATCTCCTTCCTTTCCAACTTTGAAAAATGCTGAATAATCTTACGGTTATACGCTTTCACCTCTACACACAAAAACACGCTGTCAGGATGTACATGCTGCTTTTTAAGTATACAGTAACTGAGATCTGCTTGAAAAGAATTTACACATCACTACCTTAAAAACAGGTTAACCAAGATCTTTGGTTTCACTCTGTTAAGTTGCAATTAACTGTCCTCAGCTTGCTTTGCTTTTGGCTAGACTGCAGTTACATACAAATTGCAAAAATATTCTAAATGGGGCCACCACAAGATACAGTGCCAAGAATTCAGTAGTTATAGGATCTTACCCATTTCTACTTGACTCGGAAGCCTTTGAAAAGGCTCTCCAAAGCAGGTTTGTTTAAAGCACCAGCCTGCTCCTCACAGCACCCCAATTTTCCTAATTTTTTTCAACAGTAATCAAGCAGCCAACCATTTTCCTGCTAAAGAATAAGTCACCTGTCAGAACAAGCCTTTCATGTGAAATTCATCGCATCAGATATTGGCACTGAGATTAGGAAAAGGAGCCAGTCTGAAGTCCAAGACAGAACAAGCAGCAGGTTAAAAAATGAAAAATTTCAAAGAATGCAACCTCATTTTCAAAACAGGCACAAATTAAGCATACCACAGCTGTGATGCATAAGCACCCACGGTGGCATTATATTTAATCTGCCAGAAGACTGCTTATTATGCATTAATTTGGAGCAGCACAAGAGTGGCTGGCTGCTAACATGACATCACTTCTTATTTATAACAACTCTTAATATCCCAAAAGATAAGCTGAGACGCAGAGATCATCACAATGGCTGGTATCTTAATTCTACTCCCCTCTGAAATTATCAGTTAGGCATACACACATTTCTATCGAGTCAGAACAAGGATCTTCTAGAACACAGGAGATACAGGAAATGTGTCAGGACACTGGAATTTGGGTAGTGGTCCACCTAGAAGCAGTGGTTTTCCTACCCTGGGCAAGTTAACAATAAAAGGAGGTAAAAAAAATGAGGAGCAGGAAGGAGAGAGACTGAGAACCCCGAGGCAGACAACAGAAGTTACAGCCCTTGATAGTTTTATCTTCAGTAACAGAAGACCCAAGAGGGGAGTCTAGCAGAGTTTTCCCATTTCTGAGATTCTGAAAATACAGTAAAAAGAAGCCAAGTATTTGGGTAAGATAGGTTTCAAGAAAGTGAGCAGAAAATACTCCGATACCGTGGCAACGTGCCTAATTCTGAACCTGTAATCTCACCACTACGTGAATAAAAGTTCACTAAGAACCAGAGTTCATCACATGGCTTCTCTGAAATCCTAAGTATCAGCATGAGCCAATTAATGTGTGCATCTACCAGCTGAAGTTTCAATAACATTTCAACTGAACCTCTCCCCTTAATTCGAAATGGTACAAAGATCTATTAACACAACAGACTTCCACTTAACCAGAAGCTGATAGTAAGTTAGAAAAGACAACGGTTTGTAATCAAAGTGTTACTTTGAAACTACTTTAAAGTCCCCAAAGCAGATAACCCAAGCCATTTGGTAAGCAACACTTCTACCCCACAGCACACAGAGCTGGACCTGCCATGTAGTAACTGTTCAGTAATCCACACTGCGACTCAGAATTGCACAGCCAGCAGCAGCCAGCACTGATACAGCAGTCTGGAAACAGCTGAATGCATCCAACCGCAAACTCCTCGACCCTGAACACAAAGATTACCACACCTTTAGCTCTTCCAACACCCACCTAGTTCCAGCTTGTGGTGTAAGCACCTGCTCTATCTTCTGAACAGATTCTTCTTTGATGTGTCATTTAAATCTGAAGGAAGACGAGCACAGCTGTTGGAGTCAGCTGCAGCAAGTTAAATCAACAGTTTCTTGTCAGTTCTCTAACAAGCGTGCTTCCACAACAGGAAACAATACAGCCAATCTAAGGGAGATTTCTTTTCCTCTGAAGAATTACCTGGGATTTTCATCCACCTCCTTCTCCCGATCTAAAATTCTGACCCACCCACTATTGCTAGTAAATAAAGTTTTCATTTAAACACTCAGATTTAAGTTTATTCATACACAGCAGAAGTTCCACCTGCATATTAAAAACAAACAGATTAGAAGTAAATGTTTTATTCTTCCAACTAAATTCCAGTACTACAAGGGCAGTAAAACAATGATACACTGAAAAATTGCAGCAATAAACATTTGTTAAAGACTGATAGAATAAATAAAAACTACAAAAATGAGAAATCATATAAACCCATTCTTAACCCCCAAAAAAGTCATGGAATACAGAAATGCCCTCCTTCACTATTTCACAGGCAGTACTGTGGGCTATTTGCTTAAAATTGTCCTGGGATTACATTCTAACTTAACTGTGATTACAGCTTTGTTGTAGTGCACAGTTATGAAAACCACACTAACTTCAGTCAGAAGTGTCATTCTACATTTTTATTTACACAACCAGTGAAGGGCAACTTCTAGAACACCAGCTTTAATCCTTTACTTTTTCAAACTTATTAACATAAGAAGCCAAATTGTAATGATACAGCAAATGAGGCCACTGGTATTATTACAGGTAGCAAAGGTCCACATCCAGGTGGTACTGACATCAGGGAGCACTCCAAAACCAGTTGCTGCATAAGAGTGGTTGCCACTGACAAAAGCTTGAAATAACCTGTGTTCACAGGGGGAAAAAATATGGCATTGCTGCAAGTCTTTACTGGGACAGCTTGCAACAATAAAACAGGGTGTATAGGGCAGCCCACATATGCAGAAAGTGTGATTCATGAAACGTCTGCAAAGAGAAAAAAAAAACCCAAGAGTTAATGATGGAGTTAACAAATGCCAGCTCTATCACAAACCTGTAATGGCAGTATCAAAACCTGCTTCAAAAATGAAAAACTAGCATGTTATGGGAGACAGTTTTAGATGTTTCAAACAAAAGTTGCATTTTAGCTCACATCTTCCTTTCAACCTCTGTCGTCCGTATTACCATTTTAAAGTATTTTAACTTGGAGCTTAGCTGAAGCTCAGCAACAAATAATGGCCACTTAAATTATTGAACATTCAGTAATTTAATGCTGCTACAGGAACCAGAAGAAATAGATACTCACAACTGGCAGGCTGTTCTCCATATCGTCGCATGATTTGATCATGCGTGAACTTCACAAATGCGTCGTATTGTTCTGCAAGCATGAAGCATTAGAAGTGTGAGTATATTAAGTTTAACTCAAGCTGAAAAATATTCAAGGCTACTTTTTTATACATATAAATCATATAAATTAAGCACGCATCCACTAACAGTAGTTTTAAGTGACTTTACACAGTTCATAGCCGCCATTTCCTTTTCATCCCCGAGAACAACAATGCAGCACACGTCCCCTTAACTAAAAGACTTTCCCTTACAAACTTTTGTAATGGGAAAGACAGTAATATGCTCAAAGAGAATTATGCTGCACATACACAAAGACCTCAATATACCTAACACCTGGCTAAGCATCAGACACTGTATTCTGAAGTCATCGAGTGTGCCCATTTCACAGATCCATAATGGGGGCAGAGTAGTTAAGCAAACATGGCATTAAGGTCAGTGCTAGGGTTGGAAACAAACTCCTCTCTGCTCTTATAACTACCAGATGTAAGAAAATTAATTTAATGAAATGGAAACACAGAAGTACAGGAAAGGGACTTGCTACTGAATTAGAAATTCTTTTTGGTGACCACCAGAAAATCAAAAGCAAATGACAAACTAGAAGGATGAAATGCTAGGTGACTAACACTTGACTATTTCCAATCACAAAAGTTGCCACAATAGGAGACATGTAGTTGACTGTGGACTTCATGAAAACAGCTACTGTGTAATCTGAAATGAAATTCAGATATCAAACATATTAATTTGGCTTTGAACTAAGCATTGTTATTTCCCAGAAAGATTATTCTTTCTATGCACACATACAAACAAATACATTCGCAATATTTTATTCAGTTTTAATATTGCACTCATCAGCAGGATATCACCTTTCAGAATTAGGAAATTGAACAAGGAGAGTAATATCTACCAGATGCCGCTCCTCTCCATTCCCCTTCCTCCCTTGTGGAAAAATACATGTGCAGCAATGTGGGGTGTTCTGAGAAAAGGGCAAGGTCAAAGAAGGCAATCTTCAACCAAAAATGCAGTTAGATTTGTAGTGGTTCCTAGTCCCACAGGTTTGCCCCATTAAAGTCCCCATCCTCTTGCAGGGATGAGCTTCACCTTTGAAGTAAACAGGGTATCAGTAATCAGCAAGTAGTGCAGCAGCAGCCCAAAGTACGGACCTGACCCAATGATCTAAGGACATTCCTCCCTGACTGAAGGGGCCCAGGGTCACGGCAGCCAGTTCCCCTCTGCCCACAAGCAGGACCTCCGTTTCACTGCAGTTCTGACTGATGGCTTTTCAGCAGCCATGCGAGGATCTTAGCCAAACAACAAAATAACACAAAAGGGCAGATTGAAGGGTCTGTTGCCCAGAAACCATTTCCAAAAATAACAGCAACTAGAGCTTGTCCTAAAAGGCCAGAAACCAACTTGCAAGCTTTCTTTAAAGGTTTAAGTCAACATACACAACTGCTTTGTAGCATCATCTTTGTCAAAATTATGGCTTTGGAAATTTAAAGAATCCACCGTTACTGAAAATCCCCTTTCTTGTGGCATTCAAGACTGGGAAAGTTAAGCAATCCGAAGGCAAGAGCAACCTACAGTGAACTGTTTGAAAATTTAAGTGAACGCTTGTGAAGATACTTACACCACTGGCATCCCACATCATATATGTTCTAAGTATCTATTTTAAGTCAAAAGGTAGCTAAATGCCACAAATACAAATATGATTACTACGCTCTACGACTTGACCTTTAGTATAAAAAGCTGTTTTCCACGAACAGATTCTAGAAAACCTTTCAAGTTAAAGGTTCCCTTAGCCCCTTACACTCCCTTCTCTGGTTATAAAATCTGCAAAGGACCTTGCAAACCCAAGTTCAAGCTAACACGGCAGTTTCAGGTAACAGAGGCAGGAAGGGAAATCAGGGCATTACAGTGATCTGAGTTTTCCATTTATCAAACACTCACTCTGCATGAAAGACAATTCTGCTCACCAAGAACATGGGAGAGGAAAAAAAAAGGCAGTATCTGGCTAACTACCTACAAGAAAACCGTGATTCAGAAAGGAATGAGGAAAATATCTGAGATCCAAACATTCAGTCAAGTCACTTCAAAGAAGCTATTCAATTGAGATTTATTACAGAATTTCCAGTTACATTTCCATTGACTACACTAGTTTGTAAGAGTAAGTATCACCTTACTGTACAAAGTTTAGAAAAAGATATAATCATTCTGTCAGCAGAAAAACATAACTGGCCTTCTGTGTAAGGACTTTCTAAATTCTTTTGGCAGTCTCGCTTTCTAAATTCCCATATAATGCTGAAAATTTATTATTGGCTTGATATATGGGATGCAGTAACATGATCTTTCTAATAGCTCTTTTGGTGACCACCATCGTAAGAACAAGTAAATTTAACTCATCTCACCGTAAGCCACAACCCCCCAAACAGAAACCATCCCCCTCCCTTCCCAAAAACAAATCCAAAAATGTTCCCTTTGGGACTGACAGATGGAACACATGTAAGGAACTTGCCAGAGGGGCTCCTGCTGTAAAGAACTACAAGTTTGTACTTGGAAAGTGTCTGGAACAAATGTGAATATATCTGGTCTTCAAATGGTTATGATGATCACTGCTAACTGAAATGCATTTAAGAGAATGCAAGAAATGACCCAATTCGTAACATACATAAATTAGAAGAAAAAAAGCTCTACAGAGTCCTAATTCATCAGTCCGAAGCAGGTTAAAAAAGAAAAATGCAGAAATGGAACATCAGGCCCAAAGCAATAGAAGTATTTAGGGCTCTAGTTACAGTTCTAAACAGATGTAGATTTAAGAGGGACTTAGAACTATAGTAATTTCTTACACAGCAATGGCAGACCAGCAAGCACAGAAAGAACATGAACAGGAGCTCAGGTGCAGAGTCAATACTGTCACAGGCAACCCACAAGCCTGACACAAGTCTGGTGACTTTTGGCATGGGCATGCCTGTAGAAGGTTTTATTCCCACACCTGAAGAGATTTGCAAGCTTTAATTCTGATGTGTTTTCAGGTGGGAAATAGAACAGCCGTGGGTATTCAAAAGCAGGTTTGCTGCCGAAGAGTGCACTCAAGATGTTCATTATCATCACACTAAATATTAAATTAGACACCAAATCATACTGTGAAAGCACCTACCTCTGAATGCAACAGAAAGGTGCTCAAATGCTAGCAAGATGCTTAAAAGTAGAGAACTTCAACAACTAAAGAAAGGTCATATTTACAATGCTGACATTAACATGATCCTTATGAAAAGGTAAGTTGGCATCAGGCGCCAAAAATATCAGCCGAATGATGTGAAATACAACAATTCAACACAGAGCATCAGAAATGCAGCTAAACAACTGACGCTCAGGCAGATACCGAACACCGCTGGCAGCAGTGTAATGGTAAGTACTGGGAAGAGAAAGGGAAATCTTAGGTACTGTCTTCTTGCCAAATTCCAGAAAAAGGAAGTCAGTTCCCAAGCAGGAAAAAAAAAAAGTCCTTCACAAAGAGCTCTTAAGCCAGTATAATAGAAAGTCTTTCTGGCAAAAAAACGAGGAGGAAATGATCAATTCAAACATGATAGGAAGAGAAAGTTCTATCTGAAATAAAACCACTGTTTCCATTGATTAGTAATACCCAGGAATCATAGTTTCTATCCAAGGCAGCATAAAAGAAAAAAAAAAACTATCAAAGAGACTACACATAGTTTTTTATGTCCTGTATGCATCTCATTCCTTAATCAAATTAGGTCAGAAAAAACAGCATAACACAAAAATGAGAAAAAGTTTTAAGCTTTCAAACTCATCCTAACACATTATTTTGAACTATAATATACCTGCAAGTTTTGTGGTCAAAATTTCTTCATACTCTTCACGGATTTTCTCTTCACGTTCTTTCAGCAAACGTTCACAGATCATTCCAACTTGTCTGAGAGTAAACAGCGGCTGTTCTTTTTTCAACGGTGATGATGCTGCAGATGAAGTACCTAAGATTAAATATTTGGGCATACCGATTTACACTTACAAGTAGTTCAGAACCAGTTTTATAATCAGTTTTCTTCACATCTTTTACATTAAAGGAACTTTACAGAACATTTGGAGAAGTCTTTCTCTGCCATTTGAACGCTTCTAGGGACTATTAAAGTAAAATGGGACACTCAAAAGGAAGACATATACAATGTACAATACGCACAGGTATCCAAACACCAAGAGTATTACACAAACACTGTGAACACCATTTACATGGCAGTTGCCATTTACAAATTTAAGCTTTTGTTTTACGTAAAAATTATAGTACAGTGTATTTTTGCGAAGACAGCTGCTTTGCAAAAGCCTATTACAATATCAGTGGCAGGGTATGCAGGATGGTCTCTTGAAAACAATGAAAGCTTTGTGTCCTACTGATTCTTAAAATGAGAAGCTACAATCTTCCAGATCAATGCTAGCATTGCCAAAAAAAGCAACAGTAACTGGTGAGAAGGTACCATAAACCACCAGATAACTAGGGAAAATTATTTACACAGAGTCTAAGAACACATAGCAGAATTACACAGAATTCTCTGGGTACCTGGCAAAGCTGGTCCAGTAAGGAGAAATGCATGTGGCTGTGCATCAGTAGAACAACAAGGATCTGTCTGCTGGAAGCTATTTTCTAAGTGTCTCCTCTTCTGCATGCGTTTGTACTCCTGTTTTATGTTGTACAAAATTTGTTCTAAAAGAAAAGCAGTAAGAAAATTAAGCCTAAATTAATTACATTTCAGTATTTCACTTTATTTCCACTCAAACACCAAACACTGTAGATAATTAACAGATGATAAAAGCTAGTTTCTTAAAACATGGCCTGCAAAAAACACCCATGTTTTACCTAAGACACTTACAATGAAACTAACTAAAAGAAAGGTAACTCCTGACTGTTTTCACTAGGAGAACATTAGCAAAAATGTTGTTCCTTAAGGTCAGGTATTGGTGCCAGAGTACTGCTAACAAAAATAAGCAGTGTAAGGTTAAAATTTAGGAACTATCAACTATACAATATACATGTATAAAAATTAAGCTACAGAACCTCTACTGGTATTCATCATCTTCCCTTCCTTTGCAACCATCTTTCTCTCCCGGACAGTGTTTATCATTCATACAATTAAGGATAACAAAAGACTCCAGAATAAAACATATGTACATGAAATACCATTCCTCTCTGTATAGTTACTGGCATATAGGCAGCAAAGTGGAAAGGAAAACACAATTTAGACAGAATATGCATAAAGCAACTACTGCTTAAAACCTCAAAGAATTGGAAACTGACACACAAAATACAAAAGCCTTCCTCAACATTTTTTGACAGCCTCAGATCTAGCCAAATAAACACAATGAACAGATAAATAGTCTCTTTTAAAGGACTATTGTGATATGTAGTTCAGAATTTGATTGCACTGAATACAGCAAGTGCTTTTAATAATCTCATCTCCATTGTAGAATTACAAGGAAAAAAAGTAATTTTTGCAATAAAACTCTCAATCCTGTGTGCCTTCTCTCTGAAATTCCATGTACCAAAAGGCTCTTAGGTACATCAGTGCCCTAACTGCATATCCTCTGGCAATGTAAAATATTAAAAGAAAAAAAAAAAAGGCATTTTCTATTTTTCACAGAAAGAGACCCCCAAAGACTCCCTCTTTATGAGAATTCTTACTTTCAAATGCATTCTTAAAAAATTCCCTACAGTGTCGGCTTCCACTGAGACTTCTAGACTTTTGGCAAAAACAGCTTTCCAAAACTCAGATACATACAAAATCAACGTGATCACGTCAGAGTTGCAAAGGACTCCACTCACTCAGTACCTTCCTACTTCTGTTTGGCATTTTGCCAATACAATACCATGAAATCTTCTCAACTAATTTTCAGGTTTGTAAACAGTACGCTGTTGAGGTTCCTTATTTGAACATTTTCTTGTAAGCAACCATGTGAAGCAAGTAACTTCAGCTACCGGCTTGTTCAGTCAGTGGCTGAAGCCTATGCTAGACCAAGCAGAAGCAAACATTTGGCAATTCCTAGTTGAGAGGTTTAACTATTGCAGTGGTTCTTCCATTCCGTAAGTCAGTCTGGGGGCTTCCAACTCATAAAAAGAGAGTAAACTGTTCCCAGTCAACAGGAATACCAGCATTTTCAGCAAAGGAGCTTCTTGTTTGGATTTTGTCCATTGATGAAGGCCTTGCAGTTTATACCTTTTCAGTTCCATGCCTACGGTGCTTGTACAATTTTCAGCTCCCTAAAGGGGGATCAATAACTGCAACAAATGCAGAAGTCGCAATAAAGAAGCACAGTAAGGAAATGAAGAGAAGGAAACTACAAGAAAGTGGGAAAGAAAGTACTCAAGGATGGCTGGAAGATTCATACTTTTTGTAGAAGACTCCAGCGTGGTACAGAAAATACATAAATCGGGTTAAACCGAGATGCCGTCAGGCTTCCAAAAGTAGAATTTGTCACATGCATACACACTGCATCAGTTGGAGAATAGCCCTGCAACATTTTCACTGAACAGCATAATGGTGGTAAAACAATACTTCTCCTCAGAATCAAGTGCTGTTCTAGCTAAAGCGATACTGCATAATTTTGAGTGGGAACCAAATTAGCTCATAAGATAACATCTGTCCTAAAGCATGTCTACACCATGAGAAACATGACTGCAAACATTCACACTGTATTTACATTAACTGAAGAATGTAACAAATCACGTGCATCCTTCACTATGACTACTTCGTCTTGGGCATACTTTCCAGATTCCGTATGAACTGCAAAAACATCAGCCAAATTTCGGGTATAACAACTTTGATAAAAATCTTCTCTACAGCTCTCCTTTATATTATCTTTTTGTAGAAACATTCTCAAACCACATTAACCACCAAAATCATTAAGAAAAAAAAAAACCCAAAACATCTAACCAGACTCTGGTCAATGGATACAACTCCCAAGAGTTAAAACAACCATCATCAGCCAGGCTTCCTCCTAACAACCCCTGCAAATTAAATAGGGAATAATTCAGAGAAACCATTAAAATACCAGCCAGAAGAGAAGGAGCAAAAGCTAGAAGTCAGGTGCTGACTTTGGGAAAACAGTAATAACTGGGATAGAAAATTAAGATCTGTGCACCAAGGATACGTGATTCTATTCCAAATTATATTGACTTGTAATATAATTGACAGTAATTTCATCTACCTCTAATTTGGCAACACTTTTTAACTTGCCATCTTCAAATCTCGCTCTGACACCAAAAATCTCAAGAAACGCCACTGATGGATACACTGGAAGATCCCCATCCTGACAAAATCACTTTGACAGTTTGCATTACTATAACCTCAGGTAAAGGTATAAAACTAAGCGAAGTGGGATGGAGGAGGGGACTATTTAAACATGACCATACACTGTCTACGCTGCAAACAGCCACCAGGAGAAAAAACCCTGAAATCTGAAGTCCTGACTGAACACTTGTTGAGCACGTACATAAGCTGGTTTGGTAAATAGTATTCCTCTATTTAGTCTAACTTACAAGATTTAAGGCACTATTGCTCAGCGCTGAGAACTGGACTACAAGTTCTACTCAGTACCGTGCTGCTAGCAGGCAAGATGACTGTGAGAATGACTCATCTCATACTTCCTGATCTCCACCATTTGTAAAATGGAGATTAATAGTCAAGAAACACAAATTTAACATAGCATCGAACTGTTCAATGACTTCTCACACGAATGATCAGACTAGTAATGCTTCAAATTAAGCAGGCACATTTTTGCAGCAGCAAAGACTGAGTGGACATTTTTATTAACATACAGTGGCATAAAATCTATGCCTTTAAACAAAACTACTTCACTGTGAAATGAAATGTAAGCTTGCAAATATTTATCACCGATTTTAAATGAAAATCTGAATCCCAAATTGAACTTTTTTTTTTTTAAACAACCTAGGAGAGTAAGAAAAGTTGTTTAAATGCACCAAGTTACTTCTGGCATTTACAGTTTTGCTTAATGAATCTGCAAAAATACGTCTGATGACCAAACATATTCTGTTCAAAACAGTTTTTATAGCATCTCAGCACTTGAAAGAAGCCATGAAATGTTAAGGCAGTGCAAACCAGACAACTTTTGAACACCACCTATATTGCAGACATCGAACCGTAAAGCCTTTTAAAACTCTGGCCCAGTTAAACAAGGCTTAGAGTTAGCAGGTCTCGTTCTCCAACCCAATTTTGATTCCAGACAACCTTCCTGCCTTTTCAAGCTCAGTTTCTTAACTTCCTTTACTTCCAATTAGCTCTGACTATTCTCTCTGCAGTTGACAACCGAATTAAAATGTACATTTAACTGGTGTCAAACACAGGACAGGTTTTTTTATGTGTTCCTCAATGTGGAAGCCCAAATTGTCTTTTTCAACAATGACATGCATTTTAATTAACAAATTATTTTATATCTAAAAATTTAGATTCTGAAAGTGCACTCATTAAGGAAAACCTAATCTAAGTGAGCTTCCCTAAGACTATAAAACTGAACTAAGAACTTGAATCATATATATCAGAACTCATTAGATATTTTAAATAAAGACTTGCATCCATCTTATAGGTGCTGAAGTCCAAATCAGACATTGTACATCAAGCAATAATTTCATTTATGAGATGACAAAAGGAATACATTTAATATGATCGAACATATATCACTGTGGCCTATCCTCAGTTTCTTTTTAATTTCACTTTATCCCCTGTGCTCAGTGTTTCCTACTGGTTAAAGGTACCTCTGAAGGCACAGAGCTAGCTAACAGGAAACACCAGGCAGAGGTGCTGAAAGTGAAAATTAGGCATACTGAATCTAGGGTAATAGCAAGAAAAAGCCACACTGCTAACACACTGAAATGAATTCGTACTTCATAAATGACATTTCAAATTCAAGATGACTATGAATCCCAGCCAGTTACGCAAGGCTGTATTATATACCCCCTTCTCCTCCCTCAGGTTCAAGGCTAAGATAAAGAATGACAAACGAAGATTACGACTGTCTCATCGTGACCACTAAAGGCATAGGAGATTCAGTTAAATACTCCCAAATATAATGAAATGCACAGATACTCTTTTTTTTTTAATCTAGAGCTCTGTGTACTAAGAGCATAAAGTTGAGTACATATGTTCATGAAATACTGCATTAAGATGAAGAACAGCATTCACACCAGTCTTCTTTCAGAATTTGAGATATGATTTGGGGACGCAAAATTTCACGTTTCAGCTGCTTTCACACCCAATGAAAAGTGGATGAAACATGAAGGGGCCAATTCAGAATTCAAGTTTCACATCTGAAACATGATCTGTCACACTAATGGATTACAAAACCAAATATTCATTTCCGAAGAGTGATGTCCTCTTCTTACTTCCTTTAATTAATGATAAAAAGGCAAGCTATTCTTTTTCAAAGTTCTGACATCTAATTATTTCATCCTGACCTGTAATTACCTAGAAATTATTTACAAGGGAAACAGCAGTTCAACTTGAAAAGGTAACAAGGCAAACAATTATTTTCTCCATTTTAATAACCGCTTATCAACTACGAAGGTGCTGATTGTTTCCCCTGAAGGATTTTTTTCTTTTTTTTGGGGGGGGGGGGCCTCAATTCTTAAACTAGCAATCTCTCATCTCAGTTCCCAGCTTCTCTCATTTTGCCGAAGGAAACTCTGGCAAAACA